ACAACAAATGATTAATTTGCTATGTTCCACAAACACTTGCAGAGACTCCAATTACCGAATATTTCCAAATTGGAAAGTCTCAGCTAAGCACCATGTTCTTCCTTTCATATTTACTACTTCACCCCCTGCACTTTTGGTACATTGATAGGATCATGCACATGATGGACAAAATACAGCTCTGTCATAATTCTACTGAGATCAATGGAGAGGTCTCTATCCATCCCCACCAGGCAGATTTTGGAAACACATTTGTTCCTTCTGAGTCCAGTTTTGATAGATACAGAAAATGTGTTTCCCAGGAAGTTCAAGGTGTGTACATAAAAAATGGTGGGGAAACAATCAATAACAATTATCACCCAGCACCTCCCCAAGGGAGAGATGGTATGACATTTCATGAAGTGGGAGAGTTGCAAGGGGAAGAATAGGCACTTAGAGATACCACAAGGAACCAAGAATCCATGCCTGCCTTCAGAAGCGAAGCCAGACTCCCACAACGCATCATCATGAGAGCAGTGAAGTTTGACTGTTAGCCCTCTGTAGACCTCAACCCACAGACTGGGGAGAGTCTGGTTTCATATAGGTGAGCCAATCTTTATGTACCCACTATAACAAAAATGACTTTATACTCAAGATAGTTCAACTCTAACCCACAGCAATTGGGCTGAGGTCATCCCATGGATTCTCAGCTGTACTTAAGTAGGCTTTGCACTAGTTGAGGATTTTTTCACACACAAATATTTGACTGGGAAAACCTGTCAGCTCTATAGCCACTTTGCGCATCTAGAATAATGCAAAGGGCCTGAAGGAGAAAGAAACTGATTTTAGTTCTATTTTAGTACAAGGATTTTAGCCTGGTATTTCATCACAGAAGAAATAAAATGTAAAACCAGAAGTGTCCGTTTATATTGAAGCCACAAGCTTGGTATTCAGAAGCAACAACATGCACCTGCCCTTCATAATGTTTTTACTGAGAGGTACATGGGCAACTCAGACCCTCTGAAAAAAAAAAAAAAAAAGAAAAAAAAACCTCCAGTGTGTTACAGGCAAATCTGCAAGAGCCTTTTATTTCTGATCCCCAACAATACTTCAGGAAGACTTCAAAGGAAATTAAAAAAAAAAAAAAAAAAAAAAAAGCAGAGTTGCATTTTTAAAAACTAGCATTAGCACTGTGTTAATAACATGTTACAGCTCCAGCTTCCTGAAAGTGCTGTTACGGTTGGAAAGTGATTATGTTAATTGCAAGAGAAATATTAAGCCTCCAGCTTCTAGGAGATGAAGAAATAAAGTATGCTTGGTTTCCTGATAAATCTTACTTTTTTTTTCTGAAATGTCCCTCAGTCATGATTTTATAATAAAAATGCTATGCTGTTCCAACTAGGGGTGAACCGATAGAGATTTTGGGGGCTGATACCAATAGCCAATTTTTAAGGAGGCGTATCAGCCAATACCAATCCAATTTCCTATACAGCTGCGTGCAGCTGGTAAGTCTGGTGTGGTGGAAGGGGAGGAAGGAGGGAAGGAGTGTGGGGGAGCAAATCAAGGCCCCCGTGGTAGGGGAGGGAGTAGAGCAATTGTAAATATACCAATAAAACATTGTGTTCAACAGATATATAAAAATATATAGATCTATATCTATATGTAGTGGCGTTTCATTTTAAATAATGGAAAAACGATTTTGAGGGGGTTTATTCAGAGAATTTGCAGTTTTTAAAACAGAGAAAACCAGGATCCCTGGCTTACAAATATACAGCTTACCATGTGGGGCAGGCCTTTATTGTACATGAACTGCTCTGCGGCAACTGCCTGTGTGTATGGTCTTACCCTGTGATAAACAGAAGCTAAATATGGGCAGAGTACCACCATCAAAATTTACTTCTTCAGCTGGGTTTGGAACATGCACATGGGCATTTACTGCAGAGCAAATGGCATGAGGTAAAACCTTGGTCCTTTTCCTTTGCAGTAAATTGTTTTCATGTCCATACCCCAAAATAGAGGCATGAAGGTCACTTGCCTAGTCAGTGGAACAGGCCCAGAACTTTCAGTCCCCTGCTCAAATAGCTAGATCCCATAAGAGCCATAGAGACAGGGAAATTCACCAAGCAAGCATGGCCAGAAGGAAGATTATCCTTCCTGTTTGCCCAGCTGTTTTTCTGCATCTGGGATGAAGGGAGGAAGAAACAAGCATGAGGTCATCATGCTGTTTGTGTACAGAGTGAAAGCTTAAACCCTATTCACACAGTCTCCTAGAGAGGTTTGTAAACAAAGCCAACATATTTGCTTGGTTCTGAAACAAGAGAAAAAGGGAGGAAACAGTGAGGGAAGAGGAGTCCTAGAGCTTCCTGTACCCAGAACTTCAAAAAGCTCTCATCAAGGGGGAAAAAAGGAGACCCACAGCCTGTTCATCCTCTCAGATCAGGAGTAGAAAGAATACTGGGAAAAGGAAATAAATCTCTGGAGCTTCTCTTCCTGGCACAAGACCAGCAGCATAGAGAACGGAGACCTGCGGACATGGCCAAGTGCTCAGATATGTTCTCCTATTTCCTCTGTACCAGCATTCACATATTAGGAACACGGACTATCAACTTCCTACAGGCTGAAGCCATTGTACATACCTCCTACTGATCAACTCATCATCCGAGTCTGCATCATTAGCCCCAACCTGGTTCCCATCATAGGTGTCGTCGTATTCATCCTCGTAGTCATCCCTAGAGAACTGGGCTTCTCCAGCCTGCTCAGGAACCTCCTCTACAATCACACTGTACTGGCTGTAGCGTTCCTTCTGCTCAGCAATTAGACGCTTGTCATTCAACAAACTCTCTGTTGTGTCCTTGTCCTTCCTGCAGCCCATAGCATGGAGATGGAGGGACAGAAAAAAACCCACAAAACAAAAACAGAACAGAGGCACTTCAGAGTCATTCTTTATAGCTAGAATTTTTAAATCAATGGAAACTCATTCATCCCCAGTGACTAAACACTTCATCCTGCAGTAAAACCCTTTGTCTCAAAAGCACTTCCCAATCATTGGTGAATTACCCCTCCCGAGGTACTCAATGGAGATGCAAAAGGGGTCATTTTGAAAGCAGCCAGCAAGAATGCCCAACAGATTAGGCTAGGAATTGGACTGTACCATTTCCATTTGAAATGGAAGGGAAGATTTTAAGGGCAACCAAATACAATTATACTCGAGCAGGAATTTGGCCACAACCCAACTCCCACAACAGGTACCGTGGATCTTTAATGACAACACTAATCAGAGCCCAGATTTGGTCTCAACAGAAGACAGAATTTCCGAGTACACAGTGCCAGCTAACACCATGCTGCCATGCTAGTTCAGAGGTTAAATATCAGGGCTGTAGTGCCAGGAAACACAAACTAAAGATCAGGGCAACAGTGAATGGGGTGCTCACTAGGGTTATGCAAAGCTTTGGTTGTTGATTCAATTCAGCAGAGATTCGGCCCAATTCGGCAGCCAAATCTCCAAATCCGAACTGAATCAAGAGACCCTTGAATCTCTCTGAATTGAATTGGAACCCTCCAAAATAGATTCAGAAAGATTCATAGATTCAGACATAGACACAACTTTAAACATTTTTTTCTACATACCTCTAGGTACCAGGCGGCTTGTGAATGCTGAGATGCTGGGGCGAATACAGCATCCCATGGGAATGCGGGGGGTACCCAGTGTGCTTGACAGCAGACCCAGAAACAGACCAGAAGTACTTCTGGTCCGCTTCTGGGTCTGCCAGGGAGCACAAAGGGGACCCCCTCCCCAGCAACTGGTGCCTCCTGGGTCTGAAGGGGCACCAGGGGTCCCCCCACGGCCGATCACCAAGCCAGGGGGGCATGGGAGGGGTCCCCCACTTGCTCAGTGGCAGACCCAGAAGTGGACCAGAAGTAGTTCCAGTCCACTTCTGGGTTTGCCACCAAGCATGCAGGGGGGCCCCCCCATGCTGTGGGGATGCTCTATCTGCCCCACAATAGCAGCATTCACGAGCCATGCCTGGTACCTTGAAGTATGCAGAAAAAACATTTAAAGCTGTGTGTATGGCCAAATCAGCATCGAATCTTCAGATTCAGATTTGGCTAAATCTAACTGAGACAGTGATCCAAATCAATTAACTGAATCACTGTCCGATTCAGGCTGAATCCGAATCGAATACTGCCTGTTTCGCGCACCCCTAGTGCTCACACGCCCCTCCCCAGTAGTCAGAGGGTTTACAATTTAAGTTTGTGATGAGAGAAAGCAGACAGAAGCAAGGAGAGTTAAAGGGAAGAGTGAGAACTACAATATGCATGGAAGAGTAAAGATAGAAGATTCAGAGAGGGGGAAAAGAAAGCAGAACAAAACACTGCGCCAAGAAATCCATCTGCATCAGGAAGACCCATAGAATACCACCACTTTCTGCAACTGTAGCATTTCTGATCTAAACACCTCAAAGCACTGTATGAACAACCCTCAATTAAACCTGCCGAGCAAGTAACACTGGACTCATTTTATAGGTAAGAAACTAAGTTTGGCCAACATACTCAAATCTGGCACCCAACTATGTGTGTGCCTAACCCAAAACACTTTCTACCTTGATTGTCAGATAGGCTCGGTACCAACTAATCCTGTGCAGGAAGCAAGGTCTTGTGACACTTAAGCTGTAAACCATGCATGGAGTTTATACGAATAGGGAAAGCCTTTCTTGAGCATACTCCAAAACACTCCAAAGTTTAAAGGGAATTCACAATTGAAGTTTCACTTGGAATAACTGAATTCTCTTCATATTTCTAGTAGAGGAACCTGCCTAAGAAAGAGGTGTATTCACAATGGCCAGATTCCCATGGCATTTTTCCCCATGAGGGAAAAATATTCTAAGCCTGATCTTCGGCTTCATTCACATTTGGAATCCCCAAATAAGATAAGAGGACGCAGGCAGTGTCTGCTTTCCCCCTTCTCCATGAATCACTGGTTTCCAGCACTGAAATTAGCTGCAGTTAACTTCAAACATCCCTGAAAAATGTTTTTTTTTGGATCCATCTGTTACATCTCATCTTTTAGACTGCTGGTCCCTGCCCAAAATGGGCAAACACCAAAACAGTGCTTTTCTGGTTTGAAGAAGGAATGCAAGAATAGGTTATCATTACAACCCATATTAGACCTCAGACCAGACTGGAAAAAAACACTGTTGCCCAGAAGTCTGGGCAAGATCTGATTTTCCTACCTGAAAAGCAAGAACAACAAGAGACAGAACCTATGCCTTTGCTGAAAAAAAAGGTGTTCTTTACATCAAGATAGCTTTCAAAGTAAAATCCTAGCAGGCAGAAGATGCATGGTAGCTGCGATCCACAACATATCCCAATGCCTCAGAGGGCTGACCTCAACCAGCTATGTCAAAGCAAAAACTACATAGTGTCTTGTTTCCACTGGGATTTAGCATTAAAAGTGATGCCTCTGTGCAAAACAGGTGTGTTTTACAGTGAAGAGAGCTTTACGGAGAGCAGACCAACAAACAGCAGTACCAACAGGAGAGTAATTTAAGGGGCCAAATGACAGTACATCTTTCTTAGGGAGCTGAAGCAACAATCTGTGCTGCCAGTCATCTGGGAAGGGACTGGGTCAGCTATCTGACAACAATTTGTGGAGATGGCATAGTACATTGCTGGGCACATCCATGACTGAACTTTATTGCGAATGGGATGTCTGTTAATGCTTTGATCAGGAGAGAATGTACTAGTTTTGAAAAGGAAAGGTGGGGATAGAGCATCTCAGACTGTATCTTAAATGTCTAATAGTACAAAGTGGTAGTGTTAGGGTGAAGTTGTAGCCATGATGATCCCGGAAAATGTGAGAGATCCAACAAAAAGATAAATCACCCACAAAAACCCTTACCTCTCTCAATAGTACAAAGGCAGTTTTTTCTGATCAGAAAGGCAAGCAACAATCAAGTTCAGTAATCAAGTCAATGTAAGCTTCACAGTAAAAGAAGCAATAATTTGAGAACCCACTGCTGCAAAACACAATTTGATTGAACTTTAGAAGGGAAGTGATTTTTTCCTTAATATGTTGTTATAGTCTTTAATTTCAAGCTTAGCTAATGCTGCCAGGTTCAAGTGGTTTAATTTGCAAACCAATTTTTCATCTATACACAATTCATGGAAAAATAAAACTGTGCACACACTTGGTTGATTTAAAATAAGCTTTTGAAAAGCATATGAAACATAGAAACCCGCTCAATGAGGGATAAAACCTGTGTCAGCCTGAATGAGAGGGTAATGCCAAACAGCTTAGGCTCAGTAAACATAAAAGATACAGAGCAGCATGCTAGAATAAGTGAAAAGCAGAGTCAATGCAATTTCACTGCAAGCACTCAGCAACAAAGGCAGGAACTACCAGAGAAGAGACTAGACCAATATTCTTCTGCATTATCAGAGCTGGATTTCAAACCAGATGGGTATTGATATTTCCTTGAACTTGAAACAGATTGCTATATAGTCTCAGGTCTAACTCAATCTTAGGCTGCTGGCAACAGTGACAATTATAAATTTATACTGACAAAACAAAACAAACATAAAAGGCAAACAGAAGTACATCATCAAGAAAGGTCATTAAGAACCAAAGTTACATAATCATTTCCCAAAGAAGAGAGCTTGAAGACTGAAACAATCAAACACATAGTCATAACCACCTGTGTACAAGTGATCCCCTTGTTGTCAAACCTATATAAGATTTTGTTACTTGAATTTTTCCAAAAGGTCTTATTAAAATGGATATACTCACCTCCTGCCTTTCTGTACCCGGGACAGGTCTATCGAATCTCTGCTGAAAACATCAAACTCATCATCCTGGAAGACATTACATCGAGAAGTCACCAAAGGGGTTGGATCTGGCTTCAACTGCCTGAGGAAAAGAAGATAGAACAGAAATCTCTAAGATAAAAGCAAGACAGGCCATATTCTCCAACAGAAGTACATACTTGCTCAGATCTCTGTTATTCTGCTAATCCCTCAGCCATACCCATGTGTTCAAGGTGCTAAAACTAAACAGTATTTGAGGGAGCACAAATTTAGCAAAAGCAAAAAGAAAATTATTTTCAATTAAGAACACGCAAAACAAAATATAAACAGCAAATATTCAATACTGAAGAATACTTATACTCAAAATGACTCAGTAAAGCCAAACTGAAGTTTGATGACTACCCTCAAAAGGAAAAACCAACAATTTGTTACTGTTGGTTTCAAGATGTTTGTTTCCCTATGGTTACCTATCGATTCTGGTCTCAAGCCTCCTGGCTACAACTGTTCAATTTATAAGTCTAACTATGATTATTTTTAGATTTGTTTTTGCTGGTGCAGTAAACTCAGCCCAGAATCTGAATATTCAGCTGTGCTTTGCCTCTACAAACACCAATAATCACATTTCTGCATTTGCCACTTTGCTGACAGCTTGTTGAGGATGTACAAGGCAGAAGAGGATCCAGCCCCACTGCCTTGATAGCTGTATTGTCTCTGCAGTGACAAGATATAAATAAGGGGAGGTGGGGGAGAAGAGATGAACACTCTCCCTCCTGCCCCCTCCCCTCCCCCCCCCGCCCCGATGCACACAAACACAAAGAGTTTGTGCCAGCAAACTCAGCAGATTCAACTCAAATATTAAAACAGCAACGCACTGCTCAATATAACATCTTCATTTTTAATATGCTCACTTTTCTGGTAAGGATTACATTTTTAAAGTATGTCATATCACTATTACATATCACTATTACACTATTAATTACTATTGGCCAGATGTGGCCAATGCCTTTGTACATTACAGCTGGGCATACCAGTCACATTTTTACCTGAACTTACACTGCTGCTATAGTGCACACATAATCCAACAGCTGCAAAGGCAGCTAGAATTTAGCTAATTTTACTGCCTGCTATGATTCTGAAGTCCCATGTGCAATGTATGGAAAGGAGCAAAAGCCACTCACAGCTCCATGAATTGTGACAAATGTGGATTTCAACTGTTTCCAATTTTCCTTGGGTTAACTTCAACTAATGCATATTTGACAGTGCTAGTACTTGACAATTTTACTTCTCTACCCCGTAGGATGAATTTCAGTTCAATGAATTCCTTTGAAGATACTTTTCTTCCTGTAGGACAAGTGGGATTTAGTCATCCAGGACCACAGCCTTCTGTACCAAATTCAAAGTTTGCAGGTAATAATGTCTGCACTGGATGTACAAAAGTGGTGGCACTGTACTGCTCAATCCGAGGCTAAGATGATGCCCTTCAATACACAATTTTAATGGGTCTTGTTTTAGTGTCCAATGGACAATCATTTTTCATGACAAGTTACTACTGCACTGGAATTCTGAATGGAAAAAGTCTCCAGGTTCTGCAGTGACACAATATAAGGGGTGAAAGTTAGAGGCCGCTGGCACTGGGAATCCCCCCTTGGAGCACCCTGCCACAGGGAAACACAAGCCTTCAGCTCTTCTCCTACAGAGGGGTTTCTAATCTACACAGAGAATGTTCATTTAAAAGAAAAGTCACAGAAATAAAGAGACATCAGAGCAGCACTGAAACCTCATCTCCCACCTTGGCATTGTTTGGTCCAGTTTGTCCAGGGATGGCACTAGCTTGTCCTCCAGGATGTTGTTGATCACCTGCTCTACATTGTAATCATACCCTTCCAGGCAGGCCAAGATGAAGCCCTCCCCGAGATCAGGCAGCAGATCTTTCACTTGAGAAATCAGAGAATCTAGCTCCACCCCTGAGACCTTGGCAATGGGTGCTGCAGCTGCTCCAGCATACTACAGATGTAAAACATAATGGGCAGCATTACTGAAAAGGAACTGTGATATTGATTGGGTTTGTGTAGGTAAATACAGGAAAGGAGAGTAATTAGGGCCATGGTTTAATGCAAATGGCAGCTAACATTGCAAACTGATCAGGAGAGTTGTTTGTACAATGCAGTCATAGCCCACAAAGCTAGGTGTACAAGTCCACTTTTGTTTGTTCCTGAATGCGAAAACTGGTGTATTTCTAAGGATTGCTTCTCAAATAGAAGTCACCCCTCAGAAAACATTACAGCTGTTTATAAAGCATATAGAAGACAAGATGCGAAGATACTAAGAAGGAATGCAACTGATGTAGTGTAACCCACCCAGGTGCTCTTCAATAGGAAACCCATGGAAAAAGCAGTTAAAGGGGATTATCCAGTGTAAGGCCAGGATTAGGACTTAGTCACTTACCCCCCTGGTTATTTAACAAGACCATATTGCATTAAATATATGGCAGCTATTCAGTTTTTGGTTCATCCAGCTGTCTAGAATAGAACTCCAAACTGGCATTCAGTAGCAGAGTCAAGAAAATGAATCCACTCCATAGAGAAATGAGTGAAGCAGAGACTGAAAAAACCCAGTCCTATCCATGCAGTTCCATACTCACTTCATCTTCCAATTTATATGCATCATCAAGCTCCTCTGAGTCCTTAGCAGCATCTTCTGTCATTGCCGAGGCTCCACTGGATGCCAATGGTAGTGCTGGGTCTTTAGCAACACAGGTTTTTCTCCTATTCACACCTTCCCAGGCACTTTCCACTGCTTGGAGGATATAAGCTGTTCGGGTCTCATCTCTGGAAGACTAAGTTAAGGGTTTTTTTGTTCTTTATTCCTAGCTGACTAATTTGAATACCACTTCCAATTAGTTACATGCTCTTTGCTTATGTTTTTGTCTATGTTGGTCTTTTTACCCAAAAAGTTTTTCTACCAATGCTAGGGGTGCACTGATAGAGATCTTTGGGGCTGATACGGATAGCCGATTTTTAAGGAGGCATATCAGCCGATACCGATCTGATTTCTGATACATCCATGTCCAGCTGGTAAGTTATAGATTTAGATTCATAGATTGTAAGGCCAGAAGGGACCTTGAAAGATCTTTGGGTCCAGTCCCCTGCACCAAGCAGGAAAGATAACTGAGGGTCAGCTGACCTCAGTAAGGTGACTGTCTAGTCTCCCATTGAAGATTTCCAGGGTAGGTGATTATACCACATCTGGAGAGAGCTTATTCCACAGTTTGGACACCCTGACTGCAAAGAAGCTTTTCCCAATGTTGAGCCTGAATCAATCTTCCAGGAGTTTGTAGCCATTACTCCATCAGATTCCGATCCACCCATCTTGCTAGACTTTTTAGTTCCACCTGTATCTGCAGCCTATCTTGAAGTGTGACCACACTCCCCCATAACTTGTGTTGTCTGTGAACTTGGCCAGTGAGCTCACCACCACATCCAAACCGTTAATAAAGATGTTGTAAAGTACTGGACCGAGCACTGACCCCTGTGGGACACCGCTGTCCACTTCTCGCCAGGGTGACACAGATCTGTTCACTACGACTCTCTGGGATCTATCCTGCAGCCAGTTTCTCACCCACCTGGCTGTCTTGAAGTTAAGTCTGTTGTGGTGGAAGGGGAGGGGCATAGAGAGGCAGATCAAGGCCACCCACGGTGAGGGAGGGAGTGGGGCTGGGGCAAGCGCTGCCCAACTGGGGCGGGGCAGGTGCAGGACAGAGCCTGGGCTCATCAGGGAGGGGTGGCGGGGGCGGCTCCCGCTGCTATGCACAACTCATCCAGGAACAGCTTGTCTGGCACTCACCCGCTCATCCAGCAGCTCCCGCCACTGCTCCTGCCGCTCATCTGGGAGGGCATGGGGGGGCAGGTATGTGCCCCCAGATCTGTACAGGGTGGGCCAGGGCTGCACCTGGGACAGGTGGCAGTGGCGCTGGGAGTGGGGGCTATGGGGTGCTATGACAAATTTTGGGGTGGCTGCAGCCCCCCCATAACCCTGCTCCCAGTGCTGCCACCACCCATCCCAAGTGCAGCCCAGCAAAGCCCCGGCGCCACTCCAATCCAGGGGCACACGCCTCACCCCCCATGCTCTCCCGGACAAGCAGCAGGAGCAGCAGCAGGATCTGCCGTGCGAGCACCAGACAAGCTGCTGGACAAGAAGTGTGCAGTGGTGGATGAGCTGCAGCTATGTCCTGAGCCCACCCCTGCCCGGCTGGGCAGCACTTGCCCCAGCCCCTGTCCCAGCCCCACTCCCTCCCTCACCGCGGGGGCCTTAATCTGCCGCCCCCCCCTCCCTTTCACCACAACAGACTTACCACCTGGACACTGCTCTTCAAGCTGCTAGGATGTTTTCTTCACCACCTATATGCTGCTCTGTGGCTGTGCATGCATGGGCCATTTATCAGCCAAATTATCAGCAATATCAGACTAATTTCCAATAAAGACAATTTTCTTTACATTGGTGCTGATCCGATATCAGACCAATGTATTGGTGCACCTCTAACCAATGCCAAAATAGTGGTGCAGCTTAACCACAAGCAATACACTAAAGATAATTGCAGACTACTGCTAACTCTTTAAAACACAGTGCTGAGTCCACTGGCTGACAACAAAGGATATAAGGTGGAAG